CTTCATTCTGTTTTCTGTTCGTCTTATTGGGTGTAAGTGGATCTCTGTGGATGTTGGATATGAGAAAAGATGCAGGTGGAGGTGCACACATTCCCACACATTACCTCAAGCACACACACACAAACTCCAGCATGTGTACCCATATGTATGTATGCACTCATATGCATATAAATGCATACACATGGCTGTGTAAGAAGAAGCATATACACATACATGTAAACTAGCACAAAGCACAAATGAAAGGATCTTTGTGCACATGTAAACACATACAATCATATGCACAAACACATACACAAGGGCAAAGGAGTACACATGCAAACACACATATAATATACACATGTCTATTCATACATATATGCAGACACATGGGAATATTAAAACTCACACATATTTGCACAAATTCATGTGAGCACATACATATACACCATCATATACATTGAGATATACACACAAGCACATACATATTATCTGCTCAAATTCGTACTCATATATAGTCTCATGCACACACTGATGAACACACTCACATAAAGACACAACACACACACATACAAATAAACCCAAATGCACACCCAAGCTCACTCATACTCACAAATGGGCACACATAAATCCAATCACCTATGCAAAAACATACATACACTTACAAACACACATGTACACATTTACAAATGCATGCACATTCATGTATCCACAATCACACATATGTCCAAATACATGTAACCAAATGAGTTTATAAACATGCACATACAAACTTCTGTATGCACACACTTGATATAAAACAAAGCATATGTGAATAGATGCACACAAGCACATCCACACAAGCACATTCAAATAGTGTCACAGAAATTCACTGACACCTAGATAGCACACATATATGTGAATGTTTTAAAATTCAATCTCATGTGCAAATATACACAAAATGCACACAAACAATCGCATTCATGTATATGTGAACTCTGAAAAGACTCAATTACACATTAACACATACACTCAAAAGCACATAAGTGCACAGTCACATGAGAATAAATGCATAAAACACTAGTCACACATGCAAATCACACACAATTATGCACATGTATGTGCAAACCTACACATATAAGCACACACAATTATATGAAAACTCACATGCAACCAGCCACATATACCTGCCTGTTTGTCTATATCCCACTTCACAAGCATACACACACATTCATGTAATAAACACATTTACGCAATGCACATGCCAAAACTTGAAGCCATGCATGCATACATACACAGTCTATCACACTTTGTCACAATCATATACACAAATGTATACACACGTGTACACACATGTACAGTAAATACATACACACAAGCACACATGCACACACCTAAGGACACTCACATTTGCACATACTCTCACGAGTATACAAGTACATACACATATATACACATCCACACACATACCACACACACCTGTCAAATTGACAACACTGACCATTACAGCACCAAGGATAAACCACAGCTCAGGGCATTGTTTACAAAAACCACTCCTTCCCCAGTCTTAGGCTGCACTTAAACTCAGCTTTCTCCAACCTTGGGACCTGTGAGAAATGACTATTTGCTGTTTAAACACCTGCATACAATGCAGAGATCAACAGATCTTGGGGAGCCTGACCTCTATGGATGCATTTACATCATAGCTCCAGCATCTACAGCTCAGGGGACATCAAGCCTGGGGGAGGGGGGAGCTAAGAGTCAGAATACCAAGAAGTCTGTTGTGGAAAAATCTCTTCTACAAATAGCTGCATGAACAAGCCTGGAACAATGGCAACATCAATGGACATTTATCATAGTTAGGGTTATTACTGCTGTGATAAAACACCATGAGCAAAAGCAAGTTGGGGAGAAAAGGGTATTTGGCTTATCCTTCCACACTTACAATTACTGAAGGAAGCCAGGGCAGGAACTCAAATAGGGCAGGAACCTGGAGGAAGGAGCTGATTCAGAGGCCATGGGTGGGTGCTGCTTCTTGGTTTGCTCTTCGTTGCTTGCTCAGCTTTCTTTCTTTCTTTCTTTCTTTCCTTCTTTCCTTCTTTCTTTCTTTCTTTCTTTCTTTTTTTTTTTTGTTTTTGTTTTGTTTTTGTTTTTCGAGACAGGGTTTCTCTGTAGCTACGAAGCCTGTCCTGGAACTAGCTCTTGTAGACCAGGCTGGCCTCTAACTCACAAAGATCCACCTGTCTCTGCCTCCCGAGTGCTGGGATTAAAGGCATGCGCCACCACCGCCTGGCTCAGCCTGCTTTCTTATAGACCCCAAGACCACGGGCCTGAGGTGACACCACCACAGTCACTAATTAAGAAAATGCCCAGCCGGTTTGCCTACAGCCCAAACTCATGGAGACATTTTCTTAATCAAGGTTCCCTCCTCTCAGATGGCTATAGCTTGTGTCAAAACTAGTCACCACGACAAGTATGTCAATGTGGAAGGGGGAATATTTCACAGTTCCACGCCTAGACAAAGAACCACAGGCAACTAATGACTATGGGTGTCGAATTAGCTTCTCCCAGGAAAGAACCCTTATTGGTTGTCAAATGCAGTTGTCCAAGGACGAGTAGTCAACTTTGGAACCATATAAACATCATCAACAAAAAGGGGCTCAGCAGATTGTATTTTCATGTGCTTGTGCGTGCACAAGCAAACATACACATCTATATGTATATAACAATAATGATCAAAGAAAAGAAGCGATCAATGTGGAGGAGGGCATGGGAGGGGTTTGAGATGGAACAGCTGGGAAGGGACTGAAGGGAGGAATGGGAACAAGGACAGTGATATAGTTCTATTTCAATGAAAACCATACTTTAAATTGTTTTAAAAATAGCTATATGCTGTTTAAGACACTAACCTGTGTTGTTTTGTTAGAACAACCCAAGCTGACTAACACGGTCCTGTTCTCCAGAGGTAGGGAGAACAGGCTTTGACAGCCCATATAAGGAAGCACAGGAAAAGATATAAACCGACCTCTGCATCTTGCTCCGGGCAGCCCACAGACAATGAGGCTGAAAGCTCATCCTAATACCAAAGCCCTAGGCCTTTCCTCTTCTCTCATATTTTTCATACCATAAATAATGACTTCAAACTGTGTGTATGTGGAGGGGGGGTGTACCTATAATTTCAGCACCTAAACAGAAGGGCAATAAACTCTAGGCTATCCCTGGCTGCATAAAATTACCCTTTCTCAAGAAAAAAACAAATACAAAACAGGCAGGGATAGTCATGGCACGCCTGCAATTCCAGTGCAGAGGAGGCAAAGAGGATCCCTGGGGCTTGCTGACCAACCTGTCCAATTGAAGTGGAGAGTGAGACCCTGCCTCAAAGAACAATGTGGAGAGTGGTAGAAAAAGACCATGCCAACCTCTGGTCTTCACAGTTGTGTGTGTACATACACGCAAACAAGTATGTATACACGCATGGACACACAAAAGCAATAAAGAAAAAAGGAATATACAGGAGCAGTACCTGGAGGGGAAAAGCCTTGTAAACAGACAAAACAGAATACTAAAACAAGGCACGATTCTGCCCACTCCACACCTACAGTCATGTCATCTTCATGACTCCACCCACCCCCTACAGGAAGCCAGGCCAACAGGCAGCTGCAGACCCCACCTCTGCAGAGCTGGCTTCCATTTCACAGTGCATCTGCCAAGAAGATGTGCAAATTCTGAGTCATGGGGAAGAGGAGCTGGCAGTGGCATGTTGTGGCTCAGACACTGGGCAGGGAAAGTACTGCATGAGGATTCCATCCAGAAAGTCCCCTTGACACAGGAGAAGACATATCTAGGAACACTGAAGTCTGTGTAGCCAAAGGCATATTCCATAGCAGTGAAGGGACAACTTCTTAAAAGAAAAGAATCCTAGGACATTGGAAGAGGATTTGTCCAAAACACATTTCTAAGTAAAGTTTGAATTAAAGAGAAGAAAGAATCTACCGTAGACTCCGGGGTATCTTCTCATTGCACAGGTCAGGGCTCTAAACACTTCGACGTGGGACTCACCAGGTCTGTCACTGTGTGGTCCTTTCACTAAGATGGCCCTGTCACAAACGCAGAAGGCAGAACTGTGGGAGGAAATGGAGACAGCCAGAGGGGAGACACAGGAAACAGCAGAGGGAAAGGGACTTATAGCAAACCACAGTGAAATAAGACTATAGGTCAGAGGTTTAGAAAGTTTGCCTAAGGTATCTGAGACCCTAGGTCCAATAACAAGCAACTTAAGCTTAACGCTATATATGTATCTCATACATAAATATCATTAAATATTTCACATATACAACATAAAAGACAATGGCAGGGCATAATGAAACCCATTACTTACATGCCCCATGACTGAAAAATATAATACAAAAAAAAAAAAAAAAAAACCAGGGATTAAGGTGCAGCTTAGTTGGTAGAGTGCTTATCTAGAATGCCTGAAGCCCTGGATTCAATTCCCAACATGACATAAACTAGATGTGGTGGTACATGCCTATAATCCCTGCACTTGGAGGGGTGGAAGGGAAGGGTGGAGACAGAAGGACCTGGCATTTAAGGTTATTCTCCATTATGCAAAATTCTTTGTCTGAAAAAAGCATGTCCCCTCTCTGTGTAGCTACAGGACAACAGGACCATGCCTCATCTGTGTAACCTGACAACAAGATGCTGGTGGTGGTACTGGTCATGGTGCTGGTGGTGTGGTGGTGGTGATGATTTTGGAACTAAAGTAAAAATTAATAAAATCCAGCTGGGTGGTAGTGATGCACTCCTTTAATCCCAGCACTCAGGAGGCAGAGGCGGACGGATCTCTGTGAGTTCAAAGCCAACCTGGTCTACAAGAGCTAGTGCCAGGACTGGCTCCAAAGCTACAGAGTAAACCCTGTCTCAAAAAAAANAAAAAAAAAAAAAAAAAAAACAAAAAAAAAAAAAAAAAAAAAAAAAAAAAAAAAAAAAAAAAAAAAACCAAGAAACACACACACACACAAACAAATTCCAAACTCTGTAGAACAAAAGGTTCTGAAATACCTTTATTGTTGCTAAAACCAGGTACTAGTCCTAACAAGCTGAAGTTCCTGAAAAAAGAACTGTCACAAGATAATATTAGTAACACTGTTATTCTCACACGGGACTTAATGTGGGGTGGAGCAGCATCAGGACTCAGGGAATCTTCCAATTCTGTTGCTTGACTGCTGCAGAACCACCCATCAGTTTGTCCTTCATCTTGACTACGTGAAGTACGATGAGCATACCGGAGTCTAGAAGGACACCAGGCCTTAAGCAGCAGCTTCAGCAGGGCTGAATCTATGATGACAGCTGTGTTGGGAACAAACAGGAAGCAGGTGTCAGGGATTTGCAGAAGGGAGACACTACATCTCACAAGCCTTTGGTGGGAGGGGGAGAAGTCTCACTTGAGAATAGCTCAGGGTGATTTCTGTTCAGTTTCCTTTCTCCAGATACTGTTAGTAGCATTTGGAGTAGATAGGAGCAGGTTTCTGTTTTAGCCTTCCATGAACAATTCCAAAAGACAACAGGGATCTTGTATGATAAATCTGTTTTCTGAGGGATCCTGCAGAGCTGAGCGACTTATTAAGGCCTGGAAAGAAACACTGTAAAATAGAAGAGAGAACAAATGTTCAGGATCTCACACTACATGATTCGGAGAAATTAAGCTAAGAGCATTTAAGCACTGTGTGTTATCGTGTTTTATTTTGAGATGGGATCTCATGTAGTCCGGGCTAGTTTTGAACTTGTGATGTAGCTAAGAACGACCCTTAGCTTTTGACTGTGCTGCCTTCATCTTCTACACCTTCTGAGTGTCGGGTTAAAGTTGTGCACACAGCCCCCAGTTTTACTCAGTGCCAGAGATCAGACCCAGAACTTCCTGCGTACCAGTCAGGCTCTCTACCCTGACAAAGCTACTCCCACAGTTCTCATTCTACGGCCTTCCAGCCGACCTCTTACCCATGGTGAGGCTGAGCAGCTTAATGCTTCACTGAGCATCCACATTCTGAAAGGTTTCCCAGGACTTATTTACCTTTGAGCTGGACTAGGTCTCCAGTGAGCAGGCTATGGGAAAGAGCCTGCTGAGGACGCCCACTGATTACTCAAGTGCAGGAAGCTGCTGCTGCTGGTCCTGCGCCTTTCCACATGGCTTTTCATCCAGAAAGCTCTTAAAGGTAGGAAACGGGAATTAGTACCCAGAGTAATAAAAAAAAAATTTATCAAGTAATTCTGTTTCATTTACTAGAGAGAGAAGAAAAGAGAAGAGAGTTTGAAGAGAGGAGAATATTAAGAAAACATCATGCAATGTAAAAAATCTGAGAAAAGAGAAGAAGTGGGTAGATTGTTTTCAAGCTTTTTCTTTTTAGTTGTTTAGAAAATCAACTGATACCCTGTCAGGGAGGTACTTCAGAGAAGCTGGAGTTGAGAAGGTGGACATTCAGATGTCTGAGTGAAACTATATGGAAGGAAGAAGAATTTACGACTTCAAATATATCTATTTTTAGAAACACAAAAAATAGAATGGGAACTTGAGTAGGGAAGCAAATTCTAGGAATTCTGTATATTTGCTTACTCTGTCTTCTTCCCTATATTTTCTATTCCCCTCCCTTTCTACTCCCCCTTTTCCTCCCTCCCTCTTCTCTCTGGCTATACTGTGCAAATTTCCTCTGATGTTCATATAAGCCCAGAAGCTGTCTTTCCCACCAGCTCTTAATGTTATTGGCAACCAAACCAATACACAGTGCTTTATGCAGTGCCCATCCATGGCCAGGGCAAAGGGGATGATTCACCTCCCAGACTGGTCAGACTGGCCAGGCCATCCTACTGTGACCCTAGTCTGTGTGAGAGAAGCAGTTTCCAGAGAGGTTATGGGTTCTACGGCAGGTAGACAGATGGAGGACAAATTGGAGGGACCCTAAAATACATGAAGTGACAAAAGTGGTCTGCATTTGATCCAGAGTAGCAGTAGCTCAGCATTGCAGGTGCGTAGTGCAGGAGGACTGGTTCATTGTGGCAGAAAGCTTAAGAGAGAAAAAGGAAGAGAGAGAGAGAGAGAGAGAGAGAGAGAGAGAGAGAGAGAGAGAGAGAGAGAGAGAGATGTGTGTGTGTGTGTGTGTGTATCAAGATAATAATCTGTTCCTGAGGAGTGTTCAAACGACAACTGTTTAAGGCATAGAAACAACTAAAACTATGAAGTGGTCACTTGTAAAATAATGCATCTCAAAAGAATACAGGGAGACGAATCCAAGCAATCCTTCAGGTTTGGCCCCCAAACTCAAATCCAAGAACCCTGAGTTCTTAACTTGTTGGACAGGCTTCTTTGTCTCTGGGCCAAAAACTCACCACTACTTGGCTCACAGTCCACCAGCTCTGATGCTCCAAGGGCACCCTGGCCACTGACAGAGAACTGAGATGTCTTCCTATGACCTCCATTCTACCCTGAACCATGGCTGGGCTTTTGCTCTGTCTATTCTTGACCTCTCCTTTTTCATTTGCCAGGCTCTGCAACAGTGGACAAGTGGATAGGAGCTTTGGAGCAGAGGGAGAAGTCTATGGCTTCTCAAAGAATCTCTGAGAGTTTAGACTCAAACATGTTAAAAACTCCAAATGGACCCAGGCATACTGACATGTACCACTAACAGGAACATGGCTCCAGGTATAGACGTTCCTGCAGATTGAAAAGGTCTTTTATTATAGGTTCAGTTTCTATTAGTTTGCTATGAGCAATGCTAGTTTTAATAACGAAGTAAGAAAGGTTTAACCTGTTTTTGGAAATGCTTTCCATAACAAAAATTTCACTGGAAATTTTGCTGGTGGATATGTATGTACATAAAATTCATTTGACACTTAAGGGAAAAATTTAATGGGAGGTTTTACAGCTTCTGTTTTGAATACCAATTCTCAGTGTATGAGTTCATTAAATTGTATAGACTTTGGGTCTGTTTTATTTTGGTGTGTGATATTTTTATTCACTATTAAGTTTTTAATAATAAATAACCATAAATAAAGTTCCTTTTAAAGAAGAATTTAAAAAGGGAGAGAATCTGGTATGGGAGGTCCTCTGTCTATGTGTTGCTTTTTGGTTAATGAATAAAGAAACTGCCTTGGTCTGTTGATAGGGCAGAGCTTAGGTAGGCAGGGAAAACTGTACTGAATGCTGGGAGAAGGAAGGCAGAGAGGGGGCTGCATGGATCCACTGCCGGAGATAGATGTACTGAAACTTTTCTGGTAGACCACAATGTCATGGCGATATACAGATTAATAGAAATGGGTTAAATTAAGATGTAAGAGTTAGCCAATAAGAATATAGAACTAATGGACCAAGCAGTGATTTAATTAATACAGTTTCTGGGTGGCAGGGATGAACAAGCAGCTCCTTGCTACAAGAATCAACTAAAACAATGTATGAAAACATCTAAAGGAAACAAGTTACTTTGAAAGCTAGTTCAAAGCATAGGTTTAATTTAGTTGATAAATCAAGATGTGTTTTGAGCTATACTATGCAAGGTTTGCTGTGTAGATATTATAAAACAATTGAATGGAGTGATGTGTATATCCATCATCTCCCTGGAGTACTGTCTGTGGTGAGTACAGTAATACCTCTCCCAATGACTTCAGGCAGATGATACATTGATGGGTTAGTGACCTTTCTGTTGCTGTGCCAAAGTATTCACAGTTGTAGCTTAAGGGGGAAAGAGTTGCTGTGCTCAGTTTCAGAGGGTTCAATCCATGATGCCAGGCAGGGTCTTTCTGTCAGAGCAGCTTCACAGTATCAGGTGAACAGGGTGAAACTGGATGCAGAGAACTAGACCAGAATAGAATTGAACTATTCATTATCTTTAAAGGTCTCCACCTGTAGCCCTGCTTCTGACAGCCAAACTCCATATCCTAAGAGCTCAACTCTACAACCTTCAAAATAGGACTGTGGACAGATATTTCTGTCCTGCCTGGTCCCGTAGCTGTTCAGTCCCAAAGAAACACACAGAGGCTTTAATTAATTATAAACTATTTGACCTATTAGCTCAGGCTTATTATTAACTAGCTCTTATAACTTAAATTAACCCGTAATTCTTGCCTATGTTTAGCCAGATGGCTTGATACCTTTTCTCAGTAAGGCATTCTCATCTTGTTTCCTCTGTGTCTGGCTGGTGATTGACTCTCTGCCTTTCCTCTTTCAGAATTCTCCTAGTCTGGTTGCCCTGCCTGTACTTCCTGCCTGGCTACTGGCCAATCAGCATTTTATTAAATTAATATGAGTGACAAATCTTTACAGTGCACAAGAGCATTATCCCACAGCATAGAACCACAAGCTGGGAGCTGGATGTTCAAAACACAAGCCTGTGGGGACACTCCAGATTCAGCCACAGCAACAATCAATGCATCCTGCAAGCAGTCGATATGTCTCTGAAACTTATTCCTGTTACTTAATGAATCCTTTAAACCTTTGACCTGCATCTCTCCAGTCCATTCCAGCCTCCAATACCATCATTCTATTTTCTGCTCCTGTTAATTTGTGGAGTATGGGTGATTTTTTTTTTGTTGTAGATGCTACTGTTTGCTTGTTTGTATAAATGAGGTCACTTGGTGTTTGATCTTGGGCTGTCTTTTTCATTAGCTGCTTCACTAAGTCGCCATAATGACAGAATTTTCTTCTATTTTTAGGGTTGACCAGCATCCCAGTGTATGTCTGTATTTGTATATAAGTGCGTGTCTGTTTTTCTGGATTTTCTCTATCCATTCATCTATTGATGGACTAGACCTGGGCTAACCTTTGTTTTGTCTTTAATGACGATTGCCTCAATGAACAAAAGATAAATATGTCTCTTAACATAGCGATCTCATTTCCTCCTGAAGTCAGCTCAGTAATGAGATTGCTGGAACACATGCAAGTTCTATTTTATTATTCAAGAAATCTCCAGACTGTTTTCCATAACGACTGTGCTAATTTCCATTCCTATCAACACTGTACAACCCCTGTACAAGGAAACTGAAAGAGCTGGTAGTTACAAGCTCACACTTGTAAGCAACAACAAGTGCCACAGGTCTGTGTTTACACACACAAAGACTCATGCATTTGCAGCATTTCACAGCTGGGGGGGGATACACATTTATTCAAACTGCAACACTGTCAAATTCACATCCTTTTTTCTCTTTTTAGCTGTTTATTGTACAAAATAATGAGTTTTATTGTAACATTCTTGTGCACACACAATGTACTTTTGTTTTATGAATGTAATTTATTAAATTTTGTGTGTGTGCACGTGTGTGCACGTGTGTGCATATATGTGTGTACTCTCACATATATCAAGGACAGTACACAACTTTCAGGAGTCTATTTTCATATTCCACAGTGTTAAAGCAGGGTATCTCTTTTTTTCTGCTGATGTGTTGTATACTCCAGGTTAGCTGACCCTCAAGCTTTAGGTGGCTTATCCTGACTGCCTCCCTTCTTACTGTATGAGTACCAGAATTACAGATTGCAGTTTCATGTCACATCATCGGCTTTTAATTTATTTTTTTTATGTTTATTTATTTATTTATTTCTATCTACTTATTTATTTATTTTAGTTTTCCAAGACTGAGTTTTTCTGCAGCTTTGGTGACTGTCCTGGAACTAGCTCTTATAAAACAGGCTGGCCTCCACCTCACAGAGATCCGCCTGCCTCTGCCTCACGAGTGGTGGGATTAAAGGCCTATGCCACCACTGCCCAGCTCATCCGTTTTTTTATGAGCCCCAGGGGTCAAACTTGGCTTGTCAAGCTTGAGCAGCTAGCATTTTACCCACTAATCCACATTCCCGGCTCATTCATTCTCACTCACATCTAGACAGGTCTCATGGAGGCCAAACTGGCCTCAAACTCACTGTGTAGTTGAGGATGACCTTGAACTTCTGATCTTCTACCGTAGCCTCCTGAGTGCTGGGATTAAAAGAGTGCAACAACATTCTCTTCTTTCTAGGCACAGAGTGGAATCCAGGATTTAATGCATGCTAGACAATGTCCGAAGTACATCCCTAGTGTCATGCAATATTCACCTTCTCCCGCCCCACCCTGCCCACCTGCTACTGGTCCTCTTCCTCCTTCCCAATAGTTCCCTCTCTGTTTTCAAATCCTAAGTTAATTAAAGTACAAAGTGATCGCTTTTGCTACCAGGGTAATAAGTGTAACTTACTTTCCAATAAATTATCATTCTTCATTTTCTAAATAACACTATTAATTGCCAAAATATCCACTAGGTAGTCTTTTTTTTAATTTATTTATTTATTATGTATATAATATTCTGTCAGTGTGTATGCCCGCAGGCCAGAAGAGGGCACCAGACCTCATTACAGATGGTTGTGAGCCACCATGTGGTTGCTGGGAATTGAACTCAGGACCTTTGGAAGAGCAGGCTTAACCTGCTTAACTGCTGAGCCATCTCTCCAGCCCCCTCCACTAGGTAGTCTTAAAGGAGCAAATCCATTCTTTTCACTTTAACAAAATGCTTACTGCTGCTTTCTTATTTCACTGGGTGCTGGAAGAAAAGGTAGTCTCTGTTAATCGACCTAAGTACTAAGAAAAAGAAAAAGGTGTCCTTTAAAAGATCCTTTAGTGCACATCACTGATTCAATGGCCTAGAAAAACTGAAATTAATAGTGATTGAATGCTTTACAGAAATAATTTGGTGTTTTGATTTCCTTCCATTGCAGTGTCTAGATATTGTTCCAGTACATCATAGGTCTGCTTCAGACTCTTGAGAAGTATCCAAACACATAACTTAAAGAATAACAACTAAATAGGATACAGGGGTCTGAAAGGAAATCAGTAGGGAAGGCCTGGGTTGAAAAAGAAATTCTAGACTAACACACAGTTTCCATTCTTCCTAAATTTCCCCAAATCTGAAGGACGAGGACAAGGACGTGAAGAGGAGGGAAGACGTGATGCTAGGGAGGGACAGTTCCTTTATGGCTTCAGCTACAGAGGAGTTTAAGGTCCACCAGATGGTTGGAAGAGGAGGAACTGGGCCAGCAGGGTGGAGGCGCAGTCTGGTTCCTAAGAAGTCTGGCTACTGGTGGGGGCCAGAGCAGGAAGCCAAGGGGGAATCTCCTTAGCAACCATTGACTTTGAAAAGGCTTGTGTTGTTTACCCATGTTTGGTGTATCTGAACCAAAGCACTCAGGGTAACTCGAGGAGGAGGAAGGATGGTGGTGAAGAGGAGGCAGCACTGGAGTTCCACCCCATCCTGCCCTTGCCTTCATTCCATCCTACATCGCTTCTTTTACCCTGAAACGATTCCTAATCATTTATTAGAATGATTTATCAGAATATGTTGGTGTGGAAACAAAAGGGGAAGATTCTAAGACTGGAAAATGATGTAAAAAGAAATCCAGAAGTATCCCTAAATATGTGAAATATCTTTAATAATCCATAAAGAGTAACTACCTGTGAAATGTGGTTATAGAAGGCACACATAGAGCCACATGGTGAAAGAACACATCTGTCTCTGCCAGGTATATGCCAATTTCTTTCTTCAGCCACTACCGCTGTGGCATTTATCAGCAGAATAGCATTTCTTCCTTCTGTGAGAGACAAATGTGTTCATTTGTTCCTTCTTTCATTCAACATGTGCTCACGGATTGCCTGGACTGTGTTGGAGGTTTCAGGGCAGCAGCTATGAATAACAAAGTCCTCACTGTTCAAAGCACTTGGAGTCCAGTGCAGAAAACCTGCCAAAGCCCAAGGTAAGCAGATGCAGTGAGCACCAGGCATACACGACTCGCTAACTGGTCCTTTGGAGGAAACAGAGAGGTGTCTGTGTTGAAGCTACAGTTTCCAAAAGGGCTCTGGAGGAAGCCCTCCTAGTGAAGGTGACCTTGATTAAGGCCTTAGGGCAAGGAGGCAGGGGGTGGGAGACTAGAGCTTTGCTGGCAGGAAAGAGCCGGTCAAGAGGCTGGGAAGCCTTTGTCCAGGTGGATCTCAGTGAAGAGCAAGGACTGAGGGTCTTACACGAGTAACCTGAGTAACCCGGCCAGCCAAGTGGGTAGTGGATAGGGAAGCTGGATGCCTTCCAAATGTGAAGGACAGCTTTCACTCTGCGGGAACACGTTACTGGAGCATGGACAAGGCCCTGAATTTATGTTAACAAACAAAACAAACTTTTGCATGTGTGTGTGTGTGTGCGCGTTTTCATATATGTGTAGGTTCATGTGTGGGAAGGTTACCTCTGTTGTGGCATTCAAATGTGGCTTACAGCTCACCCTTTTGGCTAGGCTAGCTGGCCAGAGAACCCCAAGGATCCATCTGTTTAAGGTTGCCAGAGTTGGCATTACAAGCTTATGTCTATGCTCATTCTTTTTACACAGTGCTGGGGCTAGAACTCAAGTCCTCATGTTTGCCAAGCAAGCACTTTACTGAGCTATCACTTTAATCTCTAAATTACTTTTCAATAGATGCATGCTGACATCTGTGTTGAAGATACACGGCAGGAAGGCAGAGGGTACAGTGACTAGAAAGGAAGCTGTTACCTAGACAGGGGCACTAACGCTCATACAGCCCAGGTGGTACTAAGGTGATTAGCAGACCAGAATACTCCAGAAGGATGTCCTCTTGGTCTTAGATGTCAGGACTTTACAAGTACACCCGAGGCTTTGACCTGTACATCTGGAATAATAGAGACACCAGAAGGGAGATGAAGAAGCCTGAAGAAAGGTGTATGCATGGGGTATGAAGATATATAAGCTTAGGTATGATTCTCACAGGTGGGAGGAGTTAATACCGAAAACATACTGAGAGGATTGGAGCAAAACAGAAAAGCTGTGTCTCATGAGGTGCAGCCAGCAGTCATGGGCACCCTTTGGGAGTCAAGTGTCCCTTTCACAGGGCTCACATATCAGAGATCCTGCATATCAGATATTTACATTAGGATTCATAACAGTAGCAAAACTGCAGTTATGAAGTAGCAAGGAAAGTAATTTTATGGATGGGGGTCACCACAACGTGAAGAACTGTATTAAAGTGTCGCAGCATTAGGAAGGTTGAGAACCACTGTTTTAGAGTGTTGTCTACTCCAGAAGGACGTGTTTTAAAATTCCCAGAGCTTCACCTTGAGCCTTGAGCTGCAGAAACCTCTGTGGGGAGAAGTGCTTAGAGCCTGACACACCCTGCCTCCAAAACAAACACACTGCCTTTGGAAGGTCCAGGTAATTCCACTGCATTTTCAAGACACCCAGTAGTATCTCGTCCTCCCTTTTAGAACGATGCTCAGGAACCATCCATTAGCAGGTTATTAGATTGATACTCCTACTGCTGAATTTAGAGGTCATCAGAAAACTCTAGAGGCCCTGTTAAAATACATATTTCCTGGCTGATTTCCCAGAAGTGGGAAGGTGGAGGGAGGGACCTGAAGATGGCCAACTTCTGTTGATCACGGGAATTTAGGAATTGCTCAATCAATTCTGGAAGGCAGAGATCAGACCTCATCCATCCCTGTCTACACTGGATTGTCTTTCCTCTAAATGTTTGATACTTAGGGAGTGAGTTGGAAGACCCAAGTGTCATGTGCCTCCATCTCTTTTCTATGGTTGAACTACAAGTAAAAAAGACAAGTAAAAGTTACACTACTTGTATTGTCTTTGCTTAGTTTTGTTATTTTTGTTTCTCTTTTTTCTATGTATTCACCATGTAGCATTTGCACAGGAAAGAGGCCCAGAGCTGCCACCCCTTCTGAGGGGCCATCCAGTTTGGCTGCTTATGCGGTTTTATTCTTGGGGTGGCTGCTGAAGGGACCTGCAGGAAGTGGATCTCCAAAACAGCTAACAATCAAACACAGATTGCATACCCCTTTTTTTTGCGTTTGTAGTTTCTAGTAGAACCTTCAGGGTTCTGGAGTAAGAAGAGGGCTTTTATTGGATGGGAACTGTGTCTCGTTATACCTGCTAAACCTTTCTTGTAGCACCTCTAGGGTTTCTTTTGGGTTATTCAGAACCCAGGCCTGCCTGCTGAGGGTGTGGCCCTTCCGACATTCTTCTATAAACAATTTCTTCTCTACAGTCAGTGACACAACTTTATCTATTCACATATCTTCTTGATTTCGGAATGGAGGTGAAACCTGGGGAATCCTGTGGATTCTGGACCCTGCACAAAAAGGCTGAATCTGACTGGAAGCAAGTCGCGCGCCTCTGCTGCTGCACAGACCTCTGGGCTTCCTCAACCGCCACCCTAACAGCTAGAGCAGGTTGGGTGATGGGCCCACCACGAGCCTCAGCGCCCACGTGGTGGGCCCGCCAGCTCCACGCCCACTTGCGGAAGCATACCCACATCTGCACTGCCATCCACTTATGGGCTCCATACCGGGCAATGATCCCTCCATACCTCTTCTGAGATGGTGCCACACATCTGATTCCACCTTTCAAGGCCTGCAGCGCCGCATCCCTAAGACTACGTCCTCCTTGCCCATCCGGCTGCTGGCTGGAGTCTTAGACCCAACAGGCCCCGCCCTTGCCAGAGTCCCGCCTCCCGTCACCGCCCATTGGCCCTCGGGCGGGGCGTAGGCGGCTCCCGCGAGTGCAGGCGGGGCAGCGGTTCCAAGGCTCGGGCGCGTGGGCCAGGTCTTCACTGCTTGCTGAGCACCGGAGCGGGAGCTGTCCGGCATCTCTCGATCTTCTCGCCATGGACGACGTGGACTCCTCTTCGGCCTCCAGCGGCTCCTTTCCCAAGTACCTGGAGCACCTCTCTGGGGATGGCAAAGCCATCGGTGTCCTGACCAGCGGCGGGGATGCCCAAGGTGCGCGCCTACCGGCTCTCTAGCCTGCCTCCCAGGCTAGGGGCGGGAGGGGAGGGCTATCGGAGAGGGCTGTAGAAGAGGATAACCGGAGTGAGAAGAGAGGGAGAGCTAAAGAGAAACGTTGGGTGATGTGAATCTGGGAGAAAGGATGAGACAAGGGTGAAAATGACGGTGAGATTCTAGGCGAACTGGTGGCCCAGAGCCGGAAGAGGCAGCCCTAAGCTAGGAACAACTAGGGTTCTTGAGGGGCGATCATAGAGGGTGGAGCTCCATTGCCAGATGAGGTGCAGAGGATGAGGGGTATGGTTGCAAAATCCTTTATTCGCAAGATGAAAAAAAATTTCCATCCACAGGTTTATTAAATGAGTTAGCCAATGGGGTCGTCTAGTGTCTGAGCCATATGATAGAGCCAGGAGTTTTTTCGGGAAATTAGGTCCATGGCGACTATTTGGATGGCATAGCACTAGCCCCACCCCAATCCCTGGGCATCGTAGAAAAAACAGCGGGGTTCCCGCAGCGCCTCCTTTCCAGTCCCGCCTCCCACGCGATTCAGGCAGCTTCCCGGCTGCTGCATTGCGGGGAAGCATGGATGGGGACGCCCAGGGGTCTCTCCGGGTGTGGCGTTGACAGTCGGGGGGCGCCTCGTGTTTTTCACTAGGGAGATTCTTTCAAAGGTTTTCTGTCGCCTTCCTGCTCGTAACAAAACTGAAAACTAAAATGGGTTTCTAGGCCCTTCCCGCCAGCCTCCCCAGGACGGGAAAGACCAGGAAGCGGGGACTCCGAGACGTCACCGGTACTCTCTAGAGCACCGATTCCCGTCTTCCCTTTTCTCCCAATGGCGAGATTTCAGAGCTGTAGAGGCCCTTGGACTTGATAAACTAAGAGAATATTTAAAATGTAAAAGCGATGGGGGTGGCCACATCACGCCCCCGGTCTTTCTCCCTGGGTACACGTGAGGGCACTGGGGTTCCCAGACAGTGAGTTTTCCTATGCTAATTCGTTGATGGGAACACTCTAGGAGCTAGACCTACATTTCCACAGTGTACACCCTCTCCAAATCTTGAGATTAGCGCCGGCTGCAGACAGTTTCCTGAGCTGGGTTTTGCTTTTGCTTTTCCGTTTTTTCCTCTGTCATAGATGAGTCCAAATGACACGTTTTGTTTTCACAAAAGGGGAGGCTTAGGATTGGACCCCGGTGTTCCTGCTCTCCCTTCCGCCCACCCGTACGGATGACCTTCACTTTGCCCTTGAGCGGGGCGGGGCCAGCGCTGGTGCTCCCGCAGGTCGGGGCTTAGGGCACCGCCCCGCCCTGGCGTGGCTCAGGAGCCTACGTGATGCTGGGCCCGTAGTCTTCGGTGTGCTTTAGGTCTCCAGCACCGGCTCGGCTCACTTTCAAGTAGCATCCGAGGCTCCGAGCATCTGGCTCTCAGACACCGGAAGCTAGGTCTGCCCAGTGAGGGGTCCCCAGTGCTCTCCTCCCATTATCTTAAAGGCGCCAATGGCAACGTCAGTCACCCTAGGCACTGCTTTCCCCGGAAAGCAGGATTGCAGCAGTACTAGTATTTTAGTAAGGAGATCCTCGGTACAAACATTTCTTCATGGAGGGCAGGTTTCCCAGAGACACAGAATGCCGTGATACATCGGAGGCTGGAAAAACAGCTCAGTGAAATGTGAGATAACATCACCAGAGTTACCCCAAATTTAACGCCTTAAGATACCCATCTGTGGGGCAGGCAGTCATCTGTACCAGGGCACTCAGTAGTTTCCCATCTAAATGCAAGGGTTTCAAAAGTGCTTGCATCCTTACACAGAACCATGCTAAGGCAAAATAGGAAGTTCTTTGGATCTTAACCTGGGCAGCCAGAAGGAGAAACTGCCACTACGGGAAGAGGCTTACCGCCACTAGGGCAGCAAGGTGAAGTGGTGAAAGGTTTTATTTTAGAATCAACGTCCTGGTTGATTAGAAAACCAGTATTGATGGCTTACCCCTTTGACGTTCCCGGCCAAAGACGTTTCCTGAAATAGTTAGCCTCTGTGCAATGGTCTGAGATTCTTGGGTACTTGGCGGAAACTTCATTTTCTTTTCTGCTTATCTTGGATCTTCCACAGGTGAGAAGTGGGGAATCTGATTTTTAAATTCTTTTGCTGTCTCTTCGGTGCAAAAAGGATACTTTCAAAATCAAAATCAAAACTGCACTTGAACATCGCTGGGTTAGTATGGTATCAGGTTCATGGAAGGTGGTTGCTCTCGGCTTGGTAGTGGGCACCAAGTATGTCCTGTCACACCTGAGCAAGTTAGAGCCAGTTGTATGGGTACTCAGCCTGGCTTTTCTTAGAACTTGTATAAACAGTCATGCTTTGTCGTGATACTGTACTGAACCTGTTTGAGTGGGTGCATGTTTTTTTTTTTTTTTTTTTTTGTTTTTGTTTTTTTTTTTTTTCCCTGGAAAAGCTTCTTGAGATGCTCAGAGGACCTGGACTTAGCATGTCACTACCCCTGGGATGGATGGTGTTTATTGTACTCTTATTCTTCCACGACTCCATCTTGACTTCATCAGTACCTGATTTTTCCTGAGAGGTTTGTTCATAGCCCGAGGTCGGAGGCAAATTTAAATCTTACACTAACAGAATGATAGTATAATTGAATGCTGGATTGGCATAGTTGGTATAGTACATGTTCTATACATCTTATGCCAAAGTCTTGTAGTTCTCATCTCTCTTTCTAATGACAAGGCTACAAGATACTGAGTTCCTCATTTTGGAGGTAGGGAGAAAGACTCACAAGAGATAAGTAACTTAGGCAAGACCATAAGTCACGTACCTGGTGGTAGCAGGATTTCAATGATGCTTTATGAAATCTTGTCTCTAAATCCTCTTTACTGTACCACGTCTTCATGGGATCTCTCTCTATAAGACTGGTTGAGTTACTGCTCAAAAGTGAATGGAGCCCAGCTTTCTCAAATGTATGGAGAGCCCTTTTGGACCACTTTGTTAGTGGAGCAGGTAAATGCCTTTTTTTTTACACTATTAGTAACAGCAAGGTGGCTTAAACCATGTGGCATAGCACTCAATACAAAATCAGCAGAAAATTTTCTTTTTCCAAAGAAATTTATATGTTTCTTTCTAAAATGAAACTGAAAATTCAACCATTATTTTCATATTCGCCTAAAATGAACTCCATATTGCTAGACAGGCACGTTGACTATGACTAAGTGCCCACATTCAGGCAGTATTACTTCCTGGACAAAAATGATAAATGGTTTTAGATACACTGTGGCAGGTTGCTGAGATGGCTTGCTGGGTAAATGTGCTCGCTGCTAAACCTGGTGAGTTCAATCCCTGAGTCCCTCATGGTGGGAGGAGAAAACTGACTCACGCGATTTGTCCTCTGACTCACATGTGCACCACGGCCTGTCCCCCCTCCCACATATACAGATAAATAAACTAATTAATGTGATAATTAAAAAGCTAGATTGTGACCTCTGTGGGTCTGGTGTATGGTTGCATTCAAATTAGTCAGAATCCATGGTCTGTGTTTAGGGTAGGCTCAGTTGTTTATTGCCTATGGGAGACATCAACATTAATACAATATTTACCAAACACCTACTTAGATTTTATATGAATCTCTCCAGGCTCTGTGAAAGTAACTAGCCATTAAAGACTGCTTGTTATGTGGTAGGCTGAGGTACTCTGGGTGACAGGCTAATCTGATGTGTGAGCCACTGAAGTTGAAGATGCTCTGGCTTTTCTCAAGTTCGCAGAAGTGAGTGTCAGGGCCGGAACTTGTGGCTGTAGATAGGATGCAGATACACTGTACTCTCAACAGTTCTCATTACAACTATAGCTCACAGCATCCTGCATAGCAGGCAGCAAGCACTGAAGTAAGTGTTGGCTGCCCGCCCCCCCCCCCCAAATTGCTCTGTCAGTCTTTGAGCAATAGGTACCAACCACTAGTAATTGTAAAGAACTTGAAGATTGTGCTTAGAAGCCAGAGGCGCCCACAGACTTGGCCCAGGTGCTGAATTGGTTCCTCTATCTTATACATTCACTCTGCCCTCCGTATTTGTGGATTTCACATTTGCAAATGCTTTCAAACATGGCTTGAGCATATATTTCTAAGTGTAACATGTACTAAAATATCCATGGACTTGTTTCGCTGTCATTACCCTCTAACCAATACAGCACAATAACCATTTGTCTTGAACTAGCTGTGATAAAATGCAGAGATGCTTCAAGGCTTATGGGAGGATGTGCTAAATTACATAAAAACTTTTGTCAACTTTATACATGAACTTCCAAGTCCTTGGATTGGATTCTGATACAAGAATCGATGGATACAAGAAAATAACAAAGCAAATCTGCAGTCATTGAACACCCAGATGAGAGCCCTGGTTGGACCCCTTCTTTACCCATAGCTGTGCTTGTATGGGACGGCAGTATATGCAGAAAAGATTTTGTGAACAATAGACGTGTGACTTCACACAGCTACACATACATGTTTGTGTGTGCGTGCATGTCTGTGTATGAGCAAAGCACATAAGCACTTGTGTTTACTATCCTAAAACTCTTGCCTGCTCTTTGAGTACATCGTTCCAGGACATCACTCAGATAATAAGATAATTATTTAAGCAAAGATATAGGACAAGTCCATCACAGTACGACAGTGTAGTGTTTGTTTATTTTCTTGGTGCTGGGGATCAGACAGAGCTTCGTTCATGCCAG